AAAAGACTCGTGAAAAGATAAAAAAAAAGCATTTTTAGATTTTGAAAACTTATGCCAAAATTCCTTCCGATTACCAAATGTAACAAAATTGTAAATAAGTATTCGTAAGTAAATCCCAAAAGAATATTGCTGTGTGCGTACGGGTTCGTAAGAGATTGAATGCACAAGTCTGATAAAAAGTTAATAAAATTTATTCTTATCACAAGAAATATAACAAAACGCTAAATATTTCCTCAAAGATGTTCGTACAATATCGCAGTATAATCAGTAGCTATATTTTAAACTACTAAAACATTAAATAGAAAGCAATCCAAATTGCAGAGAAAGCTAATGCAGTCTCACCGCGAATTCCCTACAATAATCAACAACAGTTATCTAAAACTGAGCTAATCTAATCTAATGGTTCTGGCCATGGAGGTAGGAAGTAAAATGGAGTACCCCTAAACAGGTTTCTCCCGTACCCTGCTCTGAAGCACCGGCGATCCCTACGTGGTGACCAAAACATTGGGTCATTCAATGGGTTTTGACGCGAGCGGATGTAAATATTTTGTAATTACATCGTAAATATACATATAAATGTATATATTTTCCTTTTTCTACAAAATTCAGAGTCCTAAGTATATGAAAACAACATATTTTTAAACAACATTTCATTCTGAACGGAATTAAATGCTATACGTTTCACAGAACAGTTTTCTCAGAATGGTTTCGTGAATTACATTAGAAAAAAAATTTAAGGTAATTCGATTTTATTCGGCTAAGGTACAAAAATTAAGATCAAAGTTTATTGTATTATTAATATTAAAATTATGCATTATTTCTTTCCTATTTATAGAGCTTCTTCCTAAAATACTTTCTTAAATATAACATGATTTTTTGGCTTCTGAGGCATCTTATAAATCGAAAAATGTAATTAATTTATAATTAATGCTCTATTCGGTCCATTTTAATTAGAGAATTATTAGAAATTAGGGAAATACTTTAAATAGTACTTAACTTTCTCTGAACATTTCTGAAAGGGAATAAAATAAGGATTTTTTAAAAGTATTATTTAAAACTTGTAACTGAGTTATTATAAAATGTAAGGGGAATAATTCTTTTAATTATGCTTATCAGATTTTTTTTTACCATTAATTTCAACAATACATATACCAAAACTCTTTATGACTTTCTCAAGTGCGCATCTCATAGCATTTGCTTTACAATGCCTTTTAACAGATTGCTTTCCAGTACGAACAATTCTTGCTTAAATAGTTTTATAACGTGTTTGTCAACAGGATTTCAATTTATGTTTACAATTCAATATTAAGGTTATTATATATTTAGATAACATTTATAATCATTATAAATTAGATATATTTAATAATCTGATTTCTTCACAGTTATTTGTAAATGAATAAATTCTTCATTTCAAATACATTTAAAAATAATTTAATGAATATTTATGTATTTTGTTAAAGGCAGATGCATGTTTTTTGCAAGCACATGCATAAATACCCATACATATTTCATATTTTTCATTTCCGGCATGTGCAAATCTTTGATTTCTGTGCATTCACTATATTTTATTTTTAATTAACCCAAATAAGTAAAACGTGTAAGCCCAAAGGGATTATTTTTCAGATATATAAAATTAAAATGATGAGTTTAAAATGAGCAACAGCAAAGCCTCTCTAAAAAATTTTAAAAGGTACATGTTACAATAATATATGGATGTGAAAAAAATTTATTTTGTTTAAAACATTTTGGCGTTTGGAACATAAAATAAAAGTAGCGATTACTCTATCAAGGGTATCGAAAGACGTATACAATTTTAAAGGTACCGTAAGGTATTTTTAATTCTTTAAGCATAACATTTTTGTTAAAATCTATATTTTTGTAGTTCAACAGCTTAGAATTTTATAAAACAAATTCATAATCAAAATCGCTGTTGTTAGTAATCGAAAAATAACCAAGATGTAATTTTTGCGTAAATGTCACTAAACTATACAAATTGCGGTACTATTCGGTTTCGAGGGCTGTAAAAAATCGCCAAACTATTGTTGATGCCAATGCTGCCAAAAATAATTGCGGCAACCCTAATAATTGAGACAAGAAAGGAAGTATAATAGTAAATAACTATCTAAGATTGATGTTTTAATTTAGATGAAAGGTTAATTTTATATAATACTTTTTTATTATTATAATTTATATGAAAAAGGCTAAACATGACTGAATGGAAGCATAAGGGTAAATAACTATTTCAGATCATTATTATAATTTATATAAAAATTGCTAAACATAACTGAATGGATGCCTGCATCGCTATTTCGCTACCGACTTATCGCTAAAGCATAATTTTATCTCGTTGGTTGTTCAAACGTAATTTTCTGTAATGAATGATGCCTTTTCTTTGAAAATATTCTCGGTAAAGTGCAGAATCGCTCACTTATTTATTTGCCGCTTTTTACAAGGGTAAAAACAATTGGATTTTGGTCAATTTTCTTTTACTTTTTAAGTGAAAATAGGTCGATGTGTACATAGATAAAGTCAAGGGCTGTGCGCAGTGCCATTTTTGTGCAATTCTAAGATTTTTTTAAGTGAAAATAGGTCAATGTGGATACCGAGTATGTGCAATTCTTAAAAACGCGTCAAGCAGTGGGTGATTCTGCACTTTACCCAAAATTCTATTGCCGACTTTTTGTCATGGGGAATTCCCAAATTGTTAAATCCATAGGATATCAAAAAAGGATTTAAAAATTAAACTAGTATTTCAATGGCGTCTTAAGAAATATAGAACTAATTAAACTTACGCAATCTGAAATCAGCGCGTGCGCTAGATTTGGCGCACTGTTAAATGGGCTCGTTTGCTAGATTTGCCGCTTTTGCGCGTACATTTAAGCTGCAATTTTTTTACGGCCCTCGAAACCGAATAGTACCCAAATTGCTATTATCTAATCACACTATAAATGTTTCTTTCATGTGAAAGTGTCCCTTTTTCGATTTGTATGGAACTGTCGTGTGTCGAAATACTATCAGAACACTGTCAAGCGAGCTCCTGAATGTAAACATAGAACATCCCATCTGGTGACCGAAGCTTGGCCACTCCTTCCTTTCTTACCTCCATGGTAGAAACCATGGAGGTAGGAAGTAAGATGGAGTCGCCCTAAACAAGTTTCTCCGTACCCTGCTCTGAAGCACCGGCGATCCCTACGTGGTGACCAAAACATTGGGTCATTTACCATTGAGTTCTATGGGATTTGACGCGTTCGGGTGTAAATATTTTGTAATTACGTCGCAAATATACATATAAATGTATATATTTTCTTTTTCTACAACACTTCAGAGTCCTAAGTATGTGAAAACAACATATTTTTAAACAACATTTCATTCTGAACGGAATTAAATGCTATACTTTTCACAGGACAGTTTTCTCAGAATGGTTTAATTTGAATGAAATATTTTTACAAGTTTTCGTTAATTACATTAGAAAAAAAATTAAGGTAATTCGATTATATTCGGGTAAGGTACAAAAAGTGTCGAAATACTATCAGAACACTGTCAAGCGAGCTCCTGAATGTAAACATAGAACATCCCATCTGGTGACCGAAGCTTGGCAACTCCTTCCTTTCTTACCTCCATGGTAGAAACCATGGAGGTAGGAAGTAAGATGGAGTCGCCCTAAACAAGTTTCTCCGTACCCTGCTCTGAAGCACCGGCGATCCCTACGTGGTGACCAAAACATTGGGTCATTTACCATTGAGTTCTATGGGATTTGACGCGTTCGGGTGTAAATATTTTGTAATTACGTCGCAAATATACATATAAAATGTATATTTTCTTTTTCTACAACACTTCAGAGTCCTAAGTATGTGAAAACAACATATTTTTAAAAAACAACATTTCATTCTGAACGGAATTAAATGCTATACTTTTCACAGGACAGTTTTCTCAGAATGGTTTAATTTGAATGAAATATTTTTACAAGTTTTCGTTAATTACATTAGAAAAAATAATTAAGGTAATTCGATTATATTCGGGTAAGGTACAAAAATTAAGATCAAAGTTTATTGTATTATTAATATTAAAATTATGCATTATTTCTTTTCTATTTATAGAGCTTCTTCCTAAAATACTTTCTTAAATATGACATGATTTTTTTGCTTCTTTTAAATCGAAAAATGTAAGTCAATTTATAATTAATGCTCTATTCGGTTCATTTTAAATTAGAGAATTATTAGGAATTAGCGAAATACTTTAAATAAGTATTTCGCGAATTCCTAATAATTAAATAGTATTTGACTTTCTCTGAACATTTCTGAAAGGGAATAAAATATTTTTTTTTAACTATTATTTAAAACTTGTAACTGAGTTATTATAAAATGTACAGGGAATAATTCTTTTAATTATACTTATCAGATTTTTTTCCCCCTTCATTTCAACAATACATATTCCAAAACTCTTTATTACGTTCTTAAGTGCGCATCTCATAGCATTTGCTGTACAATACCTTTTAACAGATTGCTTTCCAATACGAACAATTCTTGCTTAAATAGTTTTATAACGTATTTGTCAACAGGATTTCAATTTATGTTTACAATTCAATATTAAGGTTATTATAAATTTAGATAACATTTATAATCATTATAAATTAGATACATTTAATCATTAGATTTCTTCACAGTACTTTTCACAGTTGTTTATTTGTTTAAAAACATAAGTGAATAAATTCTAAATTTTTAATAATTTTTTAAATAAATTAATGATATTTAAAAGTCAAAAAAAGATACATAACATTTTGCTTTCATATACCCATATTTATTTCCCTATTTTATCATTTCCGGCATGTGCAAATCTTTAATTTCTGTGCATTCACTTGTGCATTCATATTTTCGTGTAAAGTAATTTACACTAATTTTAACATACACCCGAAAGTTTTACATAAAAAATATATATGAATATAATTTGAATGAAAATTATAAGTATTATTTTTAATACCCACTCAAAGGTCAGTTTTTCTTCAAAATTCCTCCACGATGGCATCTCTCTCTTTAAGCAGATAGCCCTTGCATGCGTTACTCTATTTAATAAAAACTTAATCTGACCTATGTGCCTAATTACAAATATTTAACATACAAATAATTTATATTTACATTTAGCCATCAAGTTTCAACCTTTTCAAATCTTCTAGAAAATAAATTTTGGCAGATCTCTTTTAGCAATTTTCTTAAAATCTATATTTTTGTAGTGCAACAGCTTATAATTTTATAAAACAAATTCATAATCAAAATCGCTGTTGTTAGTTATCGAAAAATAACCAAGATGTGATTTTTGCGTAAATGTCAGTAAACTATACAAATTGCTATTATCCATCACACTATGAATGTTTCTTTCATGCGAGAGTGTCCCTTTTTCGATTTCTATGGAACTGTCGTGTGTCGAAATACTGTCAGAATCTTGTCAAGCGAGCTTCTGAATGTAAACAAAGAACACCCCGTCTGGTGACCCATGCTTCAAAGCAGTGCTTCACTTCTAGCGCGGAATGGCCCCTCCTCCCTTTCCTACCTCCATGGTAGAAACAGGGGGGAGTACGCTGCCCTTTCTTCGAGCCTAACGTGGTTTCACGTTCTGTTCATGTCTAGAAGGGGTTGTCCCACTAATACTTACGGTGAGGCAGAAATTCTATCCACAGATAGGTCCTAAAAAGGAACTAGGAAGAAGCTGCAGTTTCTGTCACCATGAAGGATCGAGATTCCCCCTTGTTTGGAAACAAAAACTTAAAAAGATAAGCTCAGTTTATTAGGCAGAGTTGTATGCCTTAATCTCATTTATAGAATGAGCTAAACATCACTGTCCAAACTCTTCGATTAATACGGATTTGCTTCAAGTCTAGCCGCACTAACTAGCCAGCACAGCAGCAGTCAATGATCAATTAGTTTAAACAAATAATGTTTCAGATGTCACTAAAAACCTTTTTTTAGCTGCGTTCCTGCACACTTGGGGGTCAGAAGTAATGAGAACGCAGCTCAGACACCTAAGGATTCTGCTAGGGATGGCGCTAGGCATATTGCCGCTCGGTGCAGTTTCTGCGTGTCCAAAATTTTGTTGCCGAATGTCTCTCTAAAGTCTAAAAATTTTGTCCCTTTCAAATTTTTCTCTTTATTGCCTTTCCTAAATGAAAAAAAAATGCCATCCTAAATTTTGCTGCTTGATGTTTCTCCAAATTCAAAAATCTTTACCGCCCCTAATTTCTGCCACCCAGTGCAGTCTCACCATTTGCTTTCTCTGCAGTACTTCTTGGATGTTGCCAGCCCTATACGCAATACTGAGCATCCACTCTCTCACATTAAGCAAGTTACAGCCCAATACATTCTCACCAAATAGCAAGAACGTTGGGACGCTGCATCAACAGACAGGAACATACATCGGCTTCTCGCTAACATAACTACCAGTCTACAAAGTGCTACGGTCACTCTGATATAGTATCTAACATGACGCAATCTATTTCAGGCATGCGTGTATAGATATAGACCCAGGAACACAGATAGGTGTTAATATTATATGAGAAAGGTACCTTGGAATATTGACTCTTCCAATGTCAGTTCAGGGCTGTTCTCAAGGCGCGAGTCCTTCCTTGATAATAGAAACTGTTAATTCAGTTTATAATGCAACCCGTATAACTCTATGGTGAACGAGCGAACAGTACTGCAGATTGTAGGACTCCCTGAGTTCAAACAATGATTAAATTTGCGTCATATATTCGTAATAAATTTGTAACAATAACCTTTATTGCACATTATGACTCTATTCCTGTAACATGAACTCAAATGCATTTACATATAATTCAGTCTCTAATTACTGCTATGTAGTTTGCTATTTTATTGCAGAGTTTTAATGTATGTCCTTTGATATTTCTAGCTTACATAATAGTTAGATTCATTTATTTATTTACTTTGAATACGCTACTGATTGGTGTAGTGGTTGGAGTTACTAGTTGCAGTTCGGTTGATCCGGATTCGAATCTTGAAAAAGGCTTGGTTGCTGTAAATATCAATGCAGTATGGGAAAAATTAAAAGACCTGAAGATCCTAAAGTCCTCTCGAGTGCCTTGGTGGTGGAAAAAGAAGGATGGGAGACCTCTGGATCCGTTCGAGGAATTCTTTCTAAAAATTGGGATAGAGCTTAGCAAAGTTTTACTGTAACTTATAAGGTGTCTGAAATCTATACCAAAGATAAACACAGTGCTGTGGTTTTCGCCACGATAAAATTCTTGGTCTTGTTATGAGGTCCCCGTCCCCCAGAGAAGTGAGAAAAGCTGCAACAACTTTTAAATTTTTGTTTGGGATTAGACTCGGCGCTATCCTTGTCGCCTGGTACAAACTCTGGCTCTGTCGCTGGCCTTGTGTGAATAAGCATAACTATGTAACATGTACTCTAGTAGTCTGAATGTCTATTGAATTATTTATTAAATTGGGTTGTAATATTTCGTAGACTGCATTGTAAAAAGTACAATAATGCGCTGTTGTTATAAGGTATCTTGGTAATCTTCACGATCAACACATTTTGCTCAAACAAAATCTGTGCTGTGATATTTGTAAATATTTCTCTGTTTATTCGCCCACCAGCGGCCGAGCGGTAAAGTCGCTGAACACTGGTAGTTCGGTCCGAGTTTCGAATCCCGCGAACTGGGAGGCTGCATGGGTGTTTTCGTGGTTTTCCCCATGTGTAACGTGTATACGAGCCAGTTTCCCTTAGAAAGTCCTCCACGAAAGCATCCCTCCCCTTAGGCAGATAGCCCTAGTGTGTTTTGCCGTAATTAAATACACCAAAAATTCTCTGTTTATTCTTTTAACTACGGCTATAAACACCGTAGACACTTGTACTCTGTCTAGTTCTGAAAGCACACGTATTTGTCCGTAAAAGTAATCTAACCAAGAAATTAATAAATACCTCATCATAGGCAAAGTTAATTATGATTTCTGTCCAGGATTACAAAAGACTCATCACAAAAGTTAAAGTCCGTGTAAAAAATGTGTGACTGCACACTTACTGGAGTGGTTGCCAAAATTGTTCATAAAATCCAACGACCTGACTTGCAATTTATTTTGAACTTGATCTGAAATCATTTTGAACTTGATCAATTTATTTTGAACTCTGATTGAATCTGAGCAATTTATTTTGAACGCTCATACATAATCTTATATGAAAAATATAAGAAAAATCTGCTTACCAAGTATGAATGAGAAGTTTCACTTCATTCGCTTACACGTGTTATGAATCCATCAGTACGTTCTCAGTTTGAAACAACCCCTTGCATAGACATTTTTTTGCATCCTTGGAATAGGTTTCTTTGTTAGTTTTCCAGCATCCAACAACTAAATAAAAATAGTATTTACAAGGAATAGCAAATCTTCCGAGGCACTAGATCGCGGCTCTGAGAAGCAAAAGAAGGTGAAAAGAAACTTCCCGAAATAAAATAAATTTGACAGGAAAAAAAAAAAAAAAAAATGCATCGCTTTTTAAATATTTAATCTTTTGTGTTATCCAAATGACCATTTCCTGTTTCAAAATTCATACGGTTAGGATAGTAATTTGAATTAACGTAATTATTTGCGATTTTATTTGCTACTGTGATGATTAATGTACAACGGACAATTTGAAAACGATTAAATTATTACACACAAAACGTATTTAAAAATAATTAAATAACTGATTGATGTAGGAGCGTGTTATTCCACAACTTCCGTTTAAAAATGTAATTACGTTTCAAAAATAAAACCGCTGTTTATCGCGACCGAGTCACATTTTAAGAAATAAGAATTTGGCATGTGGCTCACCAGCAGCGGTAAGGGCTCGGCCAGCCTCAGTTTAGCCATGCGTGTTATGTTAATGTTCAAAATGCTATCAACTTAAATGAATTGCATAATTTCATACTAAAACAGAGCTGACTGAATTGTTAGAATTCGAAACGTTTATCATGCAAAACGTCGAAAGATCCACTTTCTATATTATTTATCGATATTTTTCATTATGCCAGAAGAAACGGATTTATAATCTGTGAAATATATATGTGAGAATTACTGGTCAGAAATCACAACTCTATCTTTCACAGAACCGATCGTTTGCTAAACTTTTAAACGAGTGTTCCTTGGAATAATTGTTTTGCAGATTAATTGTTTTGGAATGGTGGCTATGAAAAGAAAGTTTCAATTTTAGAAATGTACAAGGCTATTTAGAAAAAAAATCATCCGATAAAAATTTTTACAATTTTAAAAATGAAAAACCCAGAACTATAAATAATACACGAATGTAAGGAAAAAATGTCAAATCTTACTTATATATGTTTAACAGAAATTTCTTTAGTTATACATATAATGTCAGGGCGATGAAGAAATTTTCGCCAAATACATTATAATATGTTAATGGTAACTGTTTCTAAAGAAAGAAAAATCAGTTTTTTTTTTTTTTCTTTTTTTTAAAAAGTTCGTTTAGGCATGAAAGCTTACGTGATACAAACACTTGAGCTTTCACATACCCCGAAAGGAAGATGTCAAAGGGGGTAATACCTACAGAATCAAGATTGGTTTATACGGATTACGGCAAAGCCTCGAGTGCTATCTGCCTAAGAGAAGAGACGCCTTTGTGGAGGACTTTTTAAGGGGAAACTCATTCGTATGCATGTTACATATGGAGAAAAACACGAAAACGTCTAAACGTCAATGCAGCCAGCCTGTTTGCGGGATTCGAATCTCGGACTGAGCTACCAGTGTTCAGCTATTTTATCGCTCGGCTGCTGGTGGGCCTACTACATGAAAAGGCCAGCTGTTTAAAATCAAATCATCTGGTCTAATGCAGTTTTGCCAGATCGCATGTTTTCTGCAAATTTGCTACGTTTGACAAACCTGTACCATCAAAATTTATATATAGGCGGTTTTGCGAATTTTCTGCCGTTTCATCTTTTCCTTACAATGTTTTTTGCTAATTCAAAATTTTCATAATATAGCATACAATTCATTTATTTTACTATTATGCATGTCTTAAAATTAATTTATAATAAAACATAATAATTTTTTAGGCTTACCTCAAAGTTGGTAACTGCCAATCCTGCTTTTAGCCCATGAGTGCACGTGCATTCATTTTTCATAACTAGTAGCTAGTATTTTCATGTGTTTTTCTGATTACTTGTTTTAATATTTTGGGGATCTATGAACAGGTTTCCAAAGTTTAAGTCAGATCATGGCTACCGTGTTACCTAAAGTATGAATTATGAGTAATAAGAAGTTCAGCCGCACCTTTCAAAATACTTGCTTAAAATACCCATGTTTGAGAAATGGCTAATCGGAATGAAAACAGAAAGAGAGAAGCTTATAGCAAATTACATAAATGTGAATTCAGAGCAACTAAAACTGATTTAATGCAGCGCAGTACTTCTTTAGAGCATAATCAAAATATAATTTTTGAAAACAGATGGTTACCTTGGAGTGTGCTCACTGTGTTTGTTCTATAATATAATTTTATTTCAAATGCTACATGATTAATTTTAAAATGAAAAATTTTAGAATAATTGACACATATAGTAAAAAAAAATATATATAATTACAATTTTAAAAGCTGATATATGAATATTTGCTCATAAGTGAAATAACTAACTCATTCTACCTGCAAATTAAAAAACTTGAAATTCTTCCTCCATATAATATTGCTAGAAATTGAAGTAACTGAAAATCAAAGCAACACCAGATTTCTAAATAACAGCACAAACAAATTTAGCAGAGAAAGATGGTAGCTTTTATTAGCAATCAGAGTTTAATGAAGTGATATGAGTTCAACAATTAGAAAGCAATAATTAATTAAAAACACTAGCAACTAAAGCAAAACAGGAAACAATGAATAAAAAATAAACCCCCAAAACACAAAAAATTAATACATTAAACGTTTATAATCCAAATGTTAGAAAGCATCTAACAACGAATATGAATGTACTAACCAAAAAAATAAAACCAAAATTTACTATAAATTAATTAAAAGAAGAAACTGAGATTTGAATAATGAAAAATTAGCAAACTAGTTTTAAAATATCCTTCAAAACGGGCGTAATGTATATGTAATATGACAATCAAGAATAGACTGCAATCTGTAAACCCTCGGAAATTTAATTTATGATGACGTCAGAAGTCATGTGAGCTTACGAATCTATGACGGCACAAAAATTAAGTAATCTTTGACGTCATGTTCTACTTTTGGCGAATTTTCAATTCTGCACTTGCTACTTTAGTTCAAAGATTTCTGTCAATACTGGTTCAATGAAACCAATTCGAATTGTGAAAATGAAAAAATCAAGGGAAGTATGACTGAGAGTACTGAAATCCAGATTCCGAGGATGTAGGACGTGCTTCTGACGCGCTCCCGCTAACGCAGCCGATTTCTGGGGATTTTAGCGGTAATAATCAGAATAATATCATGGATATATCGAATATTGAGAGTGATGTGAATGTGAACAGTGTGGATACTTGTGCGGAGACTTCACATGTGCAATTGGATAATAAAACAAAGCTGATTGTTTCTTTCTACGAGCTGAAGCAGCAATATGAAGAAATTCAACGGCAAAAGAGATTCATGAAGCGAATTTCAACGCCGCTGGACTCTAATGGATACGAGCAACTTGACTGATCGGGCAAAACATTATTTTTCAAAATTAATGAACTTGCTAATAGCCTTGATGTACAAATTTTCCACCTTCCCCCGGCCAGGGATAACTTTATGAAAATGATCGAGCAGAAAAAGCTAGATAAAATCAACGAAACTAAAGAGAAAGAAGCTCTCCGTAAGAAGAAATTAAATAAAGCTATTAGCGTAGGCAAGCCCAAATTAGCGCGTAAGAGTAAAGGGCAAAGTATTGATGAGGGCGGATTCATTACCCCCGCTTCTCGTAAGCAAGGTAAACCCGTTGTAAATTCTGAAAGTGACTATTCTGATGTTGAAATTGTGTGTATTGAATCTAATGTGAATTCTAATGTTAAAGTCAATAAGAGTAGTGAATCAAGTGCAAATGCTAGTGAAAATGTAATATTAAACGAAATTAGCAATGAAAGTAATTCTGATAATGCTTCAAAATTCAATATGGCCGCCAAAATGGCGCGCAGTAGCAACATTTCAACCGAAAAATCGGAGGTTACTATGGTCACCAAGAAAATGTCAAATGTGAACCTTACAAAAAACAAGTATGAAGCTATCAAAAGCCCCGTTCACAAGCAACGCTCCTTCGCACAGCTGCCGTTAGCAAGGGGAGAAAAAGGAGACATGAAAGAGTTTCGTCTTTAGGACCCGTTCAGAAGACCACCGTCTTCCTTCCCCTTTACACCTAAGCTTCTGTGAACAATCATGTCACCGAATTGGCAGATTTCTAATACTGTTTACACATTTTTAACGCTGTTTACTGTTGTTAATTTTGTAATCTGTACTTTCGCAACTGGTACCTGAAATTTCGTAATGGTTCCTAAAAACATATGCTTTTTAATTATTATTATTATTATTATTATTTTATAAGCTTTTATTTAGTTCACTCTTGGTGCTTGTCGCTATGTTTAAAAGATGGTCATGAACTTTTAAACTGCTCCCCCGATAAGATATAGTACTCAAACTTTGTACATACACTGCTTGTGGATGTGGTGTCACGCTTTTGATTTTTAGAGGATTAGATTTTTTTAAAATTTAAAGTTGAAACGACTTTCTGCGAATATTAACAAATAAACTGACAATCTCAGAATATTACAGTTTGCACCATAACACACTGTGGAAGAAAAAAAAATTAAATGAAATTTTTAGCGTAATTTTTTTTAAAAATATTTTGGGAGAATTTTTAAATCGTTCAATATTTTTAGACTTTTTTGACGCCCATTAGTTTTTAAAATTTCATATCTAAAAATATATAGGTTACAAACTTCCGTCATTTTCATAGCTTACAAAACAAACTTTTCGCATTTAAAAAAATGATAAAGGAAATTAATTGGATGATTTTTTTACTTTTTTGAAAGATATGCAATGAAGCAGAATGGGAAATATTGGTTCTTCTTGGGCATCAATTCGAAACATCGTTTTCAAAGTAATAATCTCATTATACCACACTATTTTTATGACATTATTTATGCTATATAAGTTGTTATTGTTGCCAGTTGTTAGTTCAGCGCGAGATTGGAGATATTTCTGAGTTAACTTTCTCTTAAGATGCGTTTTTGCATTCCGTCGTGTTAACGTTCTTATTAGATTGAAGCATAACTACTGATTATACTTAGTGATATTCTAAACACACTTGTACGAGTATTTCTGTGGAAAATTCCAGAACTTTGAAGTGTTTATGTTGATAAAATAAATTTAATTAAGCTATCATCGGATTTGAGTGCAATGACAATCATTTACGAACTATTATCATCTATTACAAACCCCGTACGCACGCAACAATATTATAATTAATTAATGTATTAAAGTTGTTTTGAACGTGTTTTACAAAACAAAACAGGTAAAGAAAAATTCTGCTTGCGTTTTATGAGTTTTGCAATTTTTCTGGCCACATAAGGTTTTAAAAAAGGGTTTGTAGTTTATGTTTATATCTATCAATTGAATAATAGCACTAGGTTTGATTTATATACATATGTGTGTATTGAAATTCAATAACAAAATTTTAAAGTTTTGAAATGATTAAATGTCTATTTAGACAGTTTTGTATTCTTTAAACTGCAAATGCAAACTGAGAAACCTTTTGCATTTTTTTCAATAAATCCTTTTCCTTAAAGTCCGAAAACATATACAGGTATGGACTAAATTTTTTATTATTTTTTACTGCTTACTTTAAAATTATATACTTTATAGAAACAAGGATGGGTTTTGCAAAATACTGAAAGGAAAAATTATTTGAAAAAAATGAGACTGAGATCATGTTTGTTTTAAAGATTTTAGATAAAAGTGTATTTTTTCCCCCTCAGAAACTAATTCATTAATTGCAAAATCATTCCTTGAAGTTATTAAGAACACTCTAATAAATGCAATAAAACTGGGGAGAGACATTGAAAATTGGTAGGAGAAGAAAAACATTTTAATTGTAAAGTTTTCTTCAAAAATTTAAATTAAAAAAAAAATACTAGTAAAAACTTTTTTTTCAGCTTAAAATTATTTTGTCTCACAAAACCATTTAATAATATTCATAAAAAGTAGATGAAAATGCTTAAATTTAAAAAAAAAATCATTCAAAAGATACCGAGTCCCTTGTTGCGTTGAAGCCGATATTCACTTGTCTTAACTTTTGTTTTAATTTGAATGATATTTCTGGAATACCTAGCATCAGGTAACCTTGCCTGTATTTGTCTATAATTTCCGTATCTTGTACAGTTCTATCTAATTTTTGGGGGCATGCTATCATATCCACAGACATCTATCAGCGCGATTGTTTCGCTGACAAGTCCAGCGAGCAGTAACTAAAATTAAGTGAACCGTGCAGTATAGTACGGAATATCTCCCCATTTGCCCTGCTCCCGAGAGGTAAGGAACATTCAACCTCCAAGTTCTACCTCCAATTCGGTGAGGCAGTTAATGCTTGTTCTATGTGAACGGGACACGTTGGAAGAACCGGTTTAAGCTACCGGTCGAATCTGCTCTTGTGAACGGGGCTAAAGAGTCTTTGTTAGGCTCGAAGAAAGAGCAGCGTACCCCCCCCCCCTCTGTTTCTACCCCTGGAGGTAAACATGACGGTAGGAAAGGAAGGAGTGGCCAACCGGCACTCGAAGCTTCGGTCAACAGATGGGGTGTTCTTTGCTTACATTCAGAAGCTCGCTTGACAGCGTTCTGATAGTATTTCGACACACGACAGTTCCATACAAATCGAAAAAGGGGACACTTTCACATGAAAGAAACATTCATAGTGTGATTAGATAAATAGCAATTTGTATAGTTTAGTGACATTTACGAAAAAATAACATCTTGGTTATTTTTCGATAACTAACAACAGCGATTTTGATTATGAATTTGTTTTATAAAATTCTAAGCTGTTGAACTACAAAAATATAAATTTTAATAAAAATGTTATGCTTAAAGAATTAAAAATACCTTACGGTACCTTTAAAATTGTATACGTCTTTCGATACCCTTGATAGATCGCTACTTTTATTTTATGTTCCAAATGCCAAAATGTTTTAAATAAAATACACTTTTTCACATCCATATATTATTGTAACACATACCTTTTAAAAAATTTTTA